TCATAACTTCAAGCATCTTAGGCCTATCACTTTTGGGAACAAAAGGCCAGCAATCATTAACTTTATTAATATCTTAAATTACATATCTCTTAATTCACAGACTGTTAAACAAACCACAAAAATCCTAACTAAAAACGCTTAGACATGGTCAAGGAATATGGCATTCTATTTAATCAAATGACCCAACTCCTAGTTAGTATATATACAGTTTAAAAAAAAAGAATAACACACATCAAACAAAAACATTAATGTTCTCAGTTGTATATCATTCTATGATTAAACTTCATGTAATCTTTCTTCAATTATTAAAAGATTGTTCTAATCTTGCAAAAGCCCAGGGTCATCATCATAAATGTGATGTTTCCTTTTACTGCAGTAGTGTGTAAGAATATTTGTCCCTTACCTTCCAGCTCCATGAAGCCATATGTTTTGTGAGGAAAGTATTAAAGGTACTTAGGAAAATCATGCCTTTTTTATAAAGTCCTCAAATTTGGCATACATTTTAGTTAAAAGACTTTATTTTGATCAATTTGTAAATTTTTGAAATAGCTCCTGGAGAAAAGACTTTTAAGTATTATAATTCAACTATCTTCTCAAGTTTCATGCAAAAATATGATTATGAATTCCTACTGTATTGACACTTCTGATAAATGATGGATATAAGTTCAAATGAAATGTCAGATCTTTGAATAAGGGAAGAATTTATGATCAAACCAGAGATAGAGAGCATTACAAGATATAAAATGGTTAATTTTGATTACATTCAATTTAAAAGGTTTTGCACAAACAAACCCCATGCAACCAAGGTTAGTAGAATAGCAGAAAACTGGTAGAAATATTTTACAGCACGTTTCTCTGATAAAGGCCTAATTTCTCAAAAATATAGAGAACTGAGTCAAATTTATATGAATACTAGTCATTTCTCAATTGATAAATGGCCAAAGATATGAACAGGCAGTTTTCAGATGAAAAATTCAAAGTAGTCTATAGTTATATAAAAAAGTTCTAAATCATTATTGATTAGAGAAATGAAAATTAAAACTCTGAGCTACCACCTCACATCTATCAGAATGGCTAATATCACAGAAAACGGAAATGACAAATATTGGAGGGAATATGGGAAACTTGGGATGCTAATGCACTGTTTGTGAAGCTGTGAACTAATTCAATCATTCTGATGAGCAATTTGGACCAATGCCCAAAAGGCTATAAAACTGTGCAAAACCCTTACCTCAGTAACACCAATACTAAGTCTGTATCTCAAAGACATAAAAAAAAAGGAAAAGGATCTATTTGTACAAAAATATTTACAGTAGCTTTTTTTTTTTGCAGTGGCAAAGAATTGAAGACTGAGGGGATGCTCATCAGTTGAGGAATGGATGAACATGTTGTGGTATATGATTGTGATGGAGTGCTATTGTGTCATAAAAATGCAGGATGCTTTCAGAAAGAAAAAAGAACTTGGAAAGACTTACATGAATTGATGAAAAGTGAAGTGATCAGAACCAGGAAAACACTGTACACAATAACAGCAATATTGTACAATGATCAACTGCGAATTATGTAGCTATTTCCAGCAATACAATGATCAAAAACAATCCTGAAGGACTTTCAATGATAAATACTATCCACCTTCAGAGAAAGAATTGATGGCCTCTGAATGTAGCAGTTTTTTACTTTATTTTTCTTGTTTTTTTTTTTGTTCTGTGTTTTCTTTCACAACATGACTAATAAGGAAATATGTTTGCATAACCATACATGTATAAGCTATATTAAACTGCCAGCATTCTCAATGATGGAGAAGGATAGAGAGAGGGGGAGATAATTTGGAACTCAAAACTTTAATAAATTTTAAAATTTTTACATGTAATTGTAAATTTTTTTTTGAAAAAATAAAATAAGTTTGAGAATAAAAGTACTCTAAAACAATAAAAATAGAAGGGGCTGCTAGGTGGTGCAGTGGATAGAGCACTGGCCCTGAAGTCAGGAGGACCTGAGTTCAAATCCGGCCTCAGATCAAACACTTGACACTTAGTAGCTGTGTGACCCTGGGCAAGTCACTTAACCCCAATTGCCTAAAACAAAACAAAAACAATAAAAATACAATACAATATGGATAATGCTATATTTTATTTTATTTTTTTATCCCCTTCCCCTTCTATTTTCCTATGGGCAGGATAGATTTCTATACCCCATTGCCTCAATATCTTATTTCCCAGTTGCATGTGAAAACAATTTTTAACATTTGTTTTTAAAACTATGGGTTCCAAATTCTCTCCCTTTCTCCCTCCCCACCCACCTTCATTGAGAAGGCAAGCAACTCGATACAGGTTTTACATGTATAGTCATACAAAACACTTCCATAGTAGTCATCTTGTGAAAAAGTAACTATATTTTCCTTCATCCTATCCCATGCCCAGTTTATTCTATTCTCTCTTGACCCTGTCCCTCCTTAGAAGTATTTGTTTCTGATTAAACCCTCCTCCAATCTGCCCTCCCCTCTATCCTCCTACTCTCTTATCCCCTTCCCCCCTATTTTCCTGTGGGGTAAGATAGATTTCCACACCCAATTTGGGTGTGTATGTTATTCCTCCCTTAAGCCAAATCCTATGACAATAAGATACACTCATTCCCTCTCACCTTCCCCCACTTCTACTGTAAAAGCCTTTTCTTGTCTGTTTTATGTGAAATAATTTACCACACTCTACCTCTCCCTTCCTCCTCCCAGTATAATCTTCTCTCACCCCTTAATTTTATTCTCCAGTTATCACTGCTTCATTAGGGGTTTTGTGCAGCTGTTTTCAGAGATACTTCTAGGGACCTGTAAATTTTCAGTTCTTCTAAGGTGGTACAATCAAGGGCGGGGTGTTTACTCCTTTCCTGGCCTAGGCTCTGGTCTGTGAGTGACCACAGGCACTCTTTTCTGCCTTGGAACCGTGAGGAGGATTCCCTCTCCACCGCCACTACGAGCTCTACCACGCCAGTGCTCCTCCTCACCTCAGGCCCGCCACACAGAACTGTGACCCAGATCCAAGCACAAGAAAAGCAAGAGATTCCTGCCTCAGCATCAGCAAAGAGATCCCTGCAATCCCTCTCTGATCAGCCACTCAATTCCCCCTCCACCTCTAATGTTACATTTTAAAACTAAGTCAATATGCAACCTGTAGGGATCTTTATGCATAAATTAGTGGTCCCTGTTTCTATTTGAGTTTGACACCACTGATTTATACCATCCAAACAACATACCTTGGATTTTACCTTCAAGATCTGAACCAATGATTTGTTCTTGTTCTCCTTATCCCTGACAGATTAAAAGATTATGGGTGGAAATAATGGGGTAAGATAAATTTCTCACATTTACATAGTGCTTTAAAGTTTACATTTTCACCACAATATTGTAAGAAATAGTATTATCCCCTATTTTATGGATGAAGAAAGTGATATTCAAAGAGGTTAAGTAATATATTCAGAGATACACAGCAAATCTGCATCAGATATAGAATTTGAGATCAAGATCTCAAATACTGATCCAGATCCCAGTGTTCTTTCCTTTTTGACCTTTGATGGAATAAAAGGTTTGTGGCTGACCAATAAATAGGTGAAAGAAAAAAAATAAGCATTTATTAAGCACCTACTATATGCTACACACTTTACAAATATTTCATTTGATCTTTGCAACAATCTTATGAGATAGGTGCTATTATTATCCTTATTTTACAATTAAAAAAAAACTGAGGCAGACAGAAGTTAAATGATTTGTCCAGGATCACATAGTTAATAAGTGTCTGAAGCCAGATTCAAATTCAAGGTCTTCTTGGTTCTAGGCCAATCACTCTCCCTAATGTGCCTTTCAGCTACTGCTAGCTGAGAAATATCCAAAATGAGTGATATGAGCGATAAGTTTTTTGGTAAGATTTCCATTTCAAGGCAGTAGATAATGTAACTTTGGGTAAAATATGTAAAGTTTCTTTTCTAAAAGACAATTTTAGTTGTGGACTAGATCTGTTATTTCATTGGAATAGGAAACTTCCAATGAGGAAACTCTCTAGCAATGCAGATCAGTGCCTAAGATTTACCATCTTAAAGAGTTGTCTGGGGCACTGAGAAATGAAGTACTTCCTAGGGTCACACAGCCAATAGAATATCCAAAGAAGGACTTGAGCCAAGGGATTTCTGACTATGAGGTAAGTTTTCTACTGTATCTCATCAATTTGATTTCAGTTTAAAATTTGGAGTAACAAAATGTCTGCTCCGTTTGGTGCTATTTCTTACTTTTTATGATCATAATCACATATAATGAAAAGTTATATAGCTAAAGACCTGCAAAAGAGTCAGATGCTGCTGCTGCAAATGCTATTTATTATTATCATTATTATACTAGAATATATTTTCTGGAGAAAATTCAGGACTTGAGTCAAAACTAGAAGAATACTTTACTGAGGAATGGCAATAAGTTGTAACAGCAAATGTGACTAAAGTTCAAAACTAACCTCAGACACCTACTAGACACATTTGTTAAATGTGGACAATAATATCTGCAGCATCCATTTCACAAGAATGTCTTGAAGTTCAAATGTAAAGTGATATGCAAAAGTCAGTTGCCATTACTACCATTAGTTTTAGAAAACCTCAATTACCCATGAGTTTTTACTAACTTAGATAGCTAAGCCACTCACCAATCAAGTGACAGCATGTCACTGCTTAGAATAAATTTCATTCTTCTAGAATCTTCATTTGCCAAGCTGAATATTCTTAAAATCCAAAACAAGTTAAAAAAAGATAATTTATATTCTCTTTTATAACTCTGTTTCTTTTTATCATTCTATTACCACATGCAAAACCTCAGTATAATCTATAAAGAATCAGAAACAGGGTCAGCTAAATCAAATTTCAAAAATGAAGAATATTTCAAAACTTTAGAAAAAAATTCTGTAACTTTTTTAAGCAAAATAATTTTTAAATAGTACTTTTACTGTTTGCAAAACATAAGGATATATTACCTCCAACTGGTGTCCAACTCTGATGAAGGCACAGAGAGGGTCAAAAGCTCCGGTACCACAGGCCAGAAGATGTGTTCTGTTATAATGATGCAGCACACGAACAAAATTTGCACATTCACTCTGTGACAAGGAGAAAACACACACCCGCACACACACACACACACAAGAAATGTGTTAGCAGGATGCCAAGCAAATACTTCATAGCACAAAATGATACAATGTTAGAACTGGGAGTTGGTTACTTTATTTTTCATCTACATCCAACTGCCTTATTTCAGAGATGAGGAAACTGAGGCCCAGTAAGGTCAAATCATTTGCCCAAGGTCACACATTTTGTTCAACTAAATTTTCCTTATCTCAGGCTGCACCTATTTTCTCTTTGTTCCCCATCAATAAAATTACTCTTTTGAGGGATTGAGAGTTAATGGGATAACAACAGAAGGAAAGAGCAGAGAAGGAAGTGGGTTTGGGCCAATGTAAATACAAATTAACATGACCAAGTAAATGCTTCCAAGGAAGATACCAAAGGACGCTAAAAGTATTAACTTTAAATGTGAAGGATGACAGTATACACATAATAAATGAATGTGTAAAGCTCATTTGTTTGAGAAATATTTGTTGCGCAATTAAGTAAAATAAACATAGCTAGGGCCTTCAAATTATTCGAGTGTAGAGATTCCTTTGTCAAGCTGTTCTACTAAATAACCAAATTCCTGGTGCTATGCTTCAAGCAGAGTACTATTCATAAACATTGAGTTAGCATGGAGTCAGAAAAACATAATTCAAAAATGTTTCTATGGCTCACATGAAACATGTACACAAACTTCTGGGATATGGAACATTATTGTGATTTAGAAAAAAAATAAATCATGCAATCTGAAATTCACAAATCTATCTGTACCACTTGAAAATAAATTTGTTGATCTATGTTTTTTGAGTTAGTACAGACAAGTTAATCAACTGAAAGGCTTTTTCTTTAGCATGTCACTGCACATTTTATTTAGTCAGATAACTAAGGTGTATTTCTAGGGATACAGTTGTAACTTGTTCACAAAAGGGATATGACCCATTTTGAATACAGAAAATGTGGCAAAATAATATTTACAAATTGTTTTGAACCATCTAATTTAAAAGAAGAGAAGCTATGTGCCATAGTGGACAGAGGATTAGTCTCAGAGGCAGGAAAACTTAGGTAGGTTCAAGTCCTGTCTCTGATACAAAATGGCTTTGCGACCTTGGGCAAGTCATTTAACTTCTTATTGTTCTAGGTAACTCTATGAGCCTTAAAATAAGAACAGCAGCTGTGAATCTGAAGTAGTGAAAATTTCCTCAGTGGGCAATTCCTGCACCAATGACATTACATATCCACAGCAAAAACCAAACAAATAAAATTAAAATTAAAAGCAATTCTAAAAAGTCTCAAACTCTGAGTATTATGAATTGTTCTTTATGTAATTTGCATAATAGTCACATTAAACTCATGTCAAAGGATTTTTAACACATTAAATACACTGATATTAGTAAGTTGCAGTAAATGACATGCTTTATGGTGCGTGTGTGTATGTGTTTGCATGTGTTTCTAATTGTGTCACTAAGAGCAATGCAGAATAGAATGTCCTAGAGGCTAGGATAGTGACAATGGTATTGCTGTGATGATCTTGGGCACGATATCTCCAACCAACCATATAAAGCTTTACTTATGTATCTAAGGTTTTATTCTGCGAGTTAACCATATTAAGACAGTTAACAAAATCCGATCATTTCCATTTACTGTTGCTGTATGCACACATGCTGTTCATAAAAAGCTGGACACACCAGTTTTCCTTCTCATGCCACAATAATGCGACTTTCAGAGAAACAATTGACAAAATTCTTGCTGTTGCTTTGACGTGTGTGACTGGCCAGCCATCTGCTGGCCACCCAGAACTTAGAGAACACACTGGCTCATGTCCTGGCTGTAACCAAATTGGTACAGAGAACTGGGAGGAAGAATAGTATGTCTCTCAAAGCTGTTCTGATTCCTCTCTCCCTCACTGAAAGAATAACCTTTTTCAGGTGATGTATATTGTCTCCTTCATAGCTAATACTATAGTTTGTACAAATGTGCCAAGGGGTAGATCACGCCAATGAGTTAACCCATGGAGAATCTCTGGAGACTTGATAGGAAGGCACGGTTACTTTAACCCTGTTTAACTTCCTATTCATGTGATATCTACTGACTTTAGAGTAAGAGAGCACCTCTATATTCCTTTCCCCAATCACAGATAGCAGAGTGGGGAAGGAGGAAAGGATGAGTCATTGTCTGATGGGACAGAACCTAGAATATACAAAGGTTGTCTTCTTGGTACCTCCTTTTTGTAGGGCTCACAGAATCTGTTCCCTTTGCATTGTGAAAATTTGCTTCTGTAACTCATAATTGTTATTAACACATTAAGGAAAAAGGGCTATTCAAAGATATTTATTACATCATTATTTATAATAACAAAATATAGGATAAAACCTGAAATTGTAGAACTTTGGATGTTATCTCATTTGACCCCTACTCTAGGTGAGGCAAGCAATAGTGATATTATGACCATTTTAAAGATGAGGAAATTGAGGCTTTAAAGAGATTAATTGGGCTACCTGTGGCTACATCTCTGGCTCAAGTTTAAAATCCAGGTCTTGCTGATAATTTCAAGTCCAGCAAGCTTTCTGTTACACCACAAACAAGCTAAATGTCCAATGACCAGGAAAGGATTGAATGAATCATGGCTTACTCACTGCAATAGAATACTAATGTAGGATCAAGTATGAATACTACAAAGAATTCTAGAAAGTCTTTTATAAAATTAAGTGAAGTGAAAACAGTGGAATCATAGGAAAATATTATTGATTATTGAATTATGATTATTGAACTATGATTATTAAAGGAAAATCCTTTGCACAAAAACTAGAGATAAACAGAAAAAAATGGAAGTGGGACCAAAGTAAGTGCCCCTTTTTGTGGAGATTTTATATGTGGAAATTCATTTATTCAAAAGTAACTAATCATAAAGTATATTTAATCTGTCTTGTGGTTGCTTAAAGATAATCTCATACCACTTTAATAATACAAAATACTATCATATTTCACAGAATAGGCATTTTGGTAGAATGGAAAAATTTTGGTACTTGGAGTGAGAAGGGTTCTGGGTTTGAATCTCACCTTGGGCTTTTATTAGCTAGGGATTCTGGGTAAGTTACTTAACCTTGCTAAGTCTCAGTTTTTTCTTCTGTAAAATGGGAATATTATAATAATACAATGGCTACCTCATAGGGATTTTGTAAGCATCATATGAGACTATACATGTTAAGAACTTTGTATATTTTTAAAACCTACATAAAGTTCTTTTGTGTCTTAGCCACCTCCATGTAAGGTGGTGATGTAAATAGCCCAAGCATTGTCTTCTTCATTTTGCAAATGAGAAAATTGAGGCTCAAAGAGTTAAGTGAGTTGCCTAAGGTCATGCAGTTCATTAATGGCAAAGACCTGAGAGCAGCCAAGGTTTAAGTCTAGTGTTCTTTCTGTAATACTGTGTCTCATCCTGTTAGACCTCACTGTTCTCCCATTTCTCTGAAGTCTTACACAAAATTTAATACCTCAGTTATTTCCTCATGAGTTTGTTTCTGTCTAATCAACCAAAATTATACTATGCTGAAATAGTGTTTAGCTTCTCCAGGAATCAAAAGTTTCTTGCATATTGTCTCCCTCCAATTACCTGAATAAGGAGTTGGTTGTGATTTTAACATGGGAAATTTTGTAAAGATGTATAGATTGGAATACACACACACACACACACACACACACACACATATCCATGAGTGTATGTACATGTATATGTGTGTGTATGTGTACACACACAAATACACATACATATACATATAAACATGGAATTGGTCTGCTTTCTCTATAACTTATTTCACACATTTTTATTATCTGCTTCTTTCATGACTGAATTGTGTATATTACTTAAAACATGGTTTGCAGTTTAGTCCTTTATGTATTTTAAAAGAAACAGTACAATTTATCATTGTGTTGACTGACAATGAAGGACACTTACTTCATCTTTTCCTTTCATCATGCATTCCTCCTTTTGTAGGATTGTGCTAGGCCAGTGTATCTGAAATAAAATACATGATAATTGGATGTGTTATAGAAACTGCATAAAAAGTTGAATCATATTGTTTTTTTGCAATCTTCTTTTGTTCTATTTTTGGCAAAGATGGGAAATAGTTCCTTATTTTCCTAATAGTCATCATTTATGTAACTGAAGAACTTTTATTTTAAGTCTTTTCAGGATAAATAAACCAGTTTTCCCCCATCTTTTCTATATTCCTAAATTCTCTAGTCTGATGATCTCATCAATCAGGACTTTAATATCTACTTTTATACAAATGATTCCCAAATCTCTACGTTCAATTTCTTCCCCATAACCCTGGGCCACTAGTGCTACCTGCTAGATATCTGCATCTGTATGTCTTGTGAGTTTTTCATATTCAGCATATCCAAAATCAAATTCATTGTTCCCCTAAAAAAAACATGCCTCATTGTCTTATCCTTCTTTCAACTGATGCCATTTGTGACATACAACTCATAACATTTGAGTCATTTTTTCCTTTTCCCTCACCCTCATCACTTTTATCTAACAGTTGTCAAACCCTATACGGGGGCAACTAGGTGTCACAGTTCATAGAGTGCCAGGCCTAGAGTCAAGAAGACTCCTCTTCTGGATTTCAAAGCTGTCCTCAGATACTAGCTGCATGACCCTGAACAAGTCATTTAACCCTGTTTGCCTTAGTTTCATTATCTGTAAAGTGAGTTAGAGAAGGAAATTTCAAACCACTCTGGCATCTTTGCCAAGAAAATCCCAAATGGGGTCACAAAGAGTCAGACATGACTGAAAAATGAATGAATGACAATTGAGTTTGCCTCCTTAAAATGTCACATCCATCTCCTTTTTTCAACTTCAACTGTAGCCAAGAGGAGGTGGCTGGGCCTTCATCTCTAGCAATCTATGGTCCTGCTACTTCCATTGTATTCCCACTCTAATTTATCCTTCTCTCTAGGTTTTTGTAACATAGCTCTACCCAGGTTCTCCTCTAATCTGTCTGACTTCTCCTTATTAGTTAATCTACCTTTTTCTCTGAATTTATCTCAGACTCCCATGTATAATAAGTATAAAATAGGAATGAGTATTAGTCCTATGATTTCATTGCCATAGGGAGGTCTCGGCTAGGAATATCCTATCAATGAAACTACCTTCTATGAATTTTCTAGTTTTAGAGAGTTGTGAATATACTTAGAGATTACTTGACAGTGGTCAAAAAAGTTGACAGTGGTCATACATTGAGACAGTGTTACAGGCAGTATTTAAACCCATGTCTTCATGATATTTAGGCCAGCTTTCTAACCACCATGCCTGTACTCACTCTTTACATATTAATGCCATATGTAAATATGAATTATTTGCATTCATTTGTAAGGAAAAGGTCAGCCTCTTAAGGTAAGGGAATTAGTCATAGATAGATAGATAAATAGATAGATTGATTGATTTTAGTAACCCTGAAACCTAATAGACCCTTATAAATGAACCAGTGTTTAATTAATGTTTGTTGATAATATGACTCCTTCAGTCTGTAAAACAAGCTTCATGTCCTCCATGAACTCTACCAAAAGCTTGAGCTCTAACTGTTGCCCTATCTGACTTTTGCACACAATTTAGCACTTTAATTTGATTCAGAAGTTGGTCATTATTTGTTTCTCATCTATTCATATTTATTCCCAAGTAGTAGTAAGCTCCTTGAGAAGAGGGACTTTATGTCAGATTTCTCTTGCATACCTTAAGGTATTTAGCAGGAAAAATAGGAAGTGTTCAATAAATATTTGTTGACTGATTAATTTTTGATGTACCCTGACATTGTAAATTTTTCATCATTTTTATTTCCTTCCCTCCCCCCTTTATTCTTTTAATCACTGTTGGATAAAGCAGAACTGAATAAATTTACATAGGTTGTCCAGTCCCTACAGATGGACAATCACCTATTCCTAGAATTGAATAGGAGAAAAAGAGCAAGCTGGATTGCATTGGGAAATTGATAAGCACTTTCAGTAAATGAGAATTGGTCCTTCACATACAAAAATCAATCTTTTTGGCATAAATATTCTTCTACTGATGCTATTTGGTTGAAAATCATGGGACACTGAAATCTGAAGAATTAGAGAATAATACAAAAGAAGGTTTTTTTTTTTTTAGTTCCTACACTTAGGTGCTAATGCCTTCTTCTCTGAGATTGTTGTTATTGAGTTGTTTCACTCATATTCAACTCTTTGCAAGACCATTTGGGGTTTTCTTGGCAAAGATTCTGGAGAGGTTTGCCATTTTCTTCTGCATATCATTTACAGATGAAGAAACTGAGGTAAACAGGGTTAAGTGACTTGCCCAGGGTCACACAGCTAGTAAGTATCTGACGCTGGGTTTGAACTCATGAACGTGATTCCTCCTTATTCCAAGCCCAGTGCCCCCTGAGATTACATTCTATGTAACAAATACATATGCATATACACACACACACATATACATATATATATACATACATACATATATATCTACACAAACACATATACATACATCTATACATACATACATACATACATGCACACACAAATACATACACATATATGGGTGTGTGTATCTTGATTGGGAAATGTGACCAACAGGATGGCTGATTAAGCTTTGAAGTATAGCCCTGGAGTATCTATCATCAAAGGAGAAGGAGTCAGAAAGTGATCAATAAGGTAATATGGGGCAAGGGGAGCCTGAAATTAACAATGATCTCAGAAGGAAGAAAACTCTGTTAAAGAATAATCATAAACAGATAAACTAGAAGGGAAGATATTAATAACAGAACAGAAGATGGCCTCCAGATCACTTAAAAATGTCACAAAAAAAGGAAGGAAGGAGGGAGGGAATAAAGAAAGGGAGGAAAGAAGGAAAGAAAAAAGGGTCACTGAAAAAAGGATTTTAAAAATGCATAGAAGAAAACAAAAGGAAGGTTAGAAATTATCACATACAGGTAAAATAGCTTTGAATGTAACGTTCAATTTATTAGACACTTAAAAAAACAAGCTGTGCATAATAGAGATTCACAGTTTCATTTATAAGCCCTGATGTTCTATTGTATGTATACATACATATATATGGAAATGCTTGTTTTAATTAATGTTTGTTAAGATAATTTTTAAGGGAAAAGAGATAAAGAATGAGAAATAAGCTCTATCAAAGTTCAGCTCAGTCTGGATGCAGAATTAGGCCAGGAGTCAGGTAGACTAGAGTTCAAATTCTGACTCAGACAGTTACTAGAGCTATGTGACCCTGGGCAAGTTTCTTAACCTCTGTCTGCCTCAGTTGCCTGAAATGTAAATGGGAATAATAATATTCCCAACTCCTAGAGTTGTTGCTAGGATCAAATGAGAAAACATAGGAACAGAGTTTAGTACAGTACCTAAATATAGTAGTTGCTTAATAAAGGTTTGTTTGTTTATTTTTCCTCTTTTCCTTGGTAACTTTCTACCATTACCAATATTACCTTGTTTTTATTTTATGTGCATACTATGTTAACACATTATTTTCCTAATATCAGGGATTTCTTATTTTTTTGTCTTTTTATCAACAGTGCCTAGCATAGGGGCAGCTAGGTGGCACAGTGGATAGAGCACTGGCCCTGAAGTCAGGAGTACCTGAGTTCAAATCCAGCTTCAGACCAAACACTTGACACTTACTAGCTGTGTGACCCTGGGCAAGTCACTTAACCCCAATTACCTTTAAAAAAAAATTCAAAAAAAAAAAAAAACCAATGCCTAGCATATTGCCTGACACATAGCTGGTTTTTAATAATTGCTTGTTAATTGATTGATCAGAACAAGAGCTGAACTAATAATAATGAAGTGTAGGATAAAAGATGGACAACCAAAATCCTATACTGTAATGACAAACTATTGAAAACCTTAAGGGCAACTGGGAGGTACAACGGATAGAATGCTAGATCTATCAGGAAGGCTTGAGTTCAAATATAGCCTCATACTTAATAGTTATGCAAATCACTTAACTGTTGCCCACCTCCTTTTCTTATACTGTCAAATAAAAATAATAAATGAGAAAAGAACCATCTCCTACCTTCCCAAGGTCATTGTGAAGATTAAATGAAATGAAATGATTAAATGAAATCATACTTGTAAACCTCTTAGCACATTACCCAGCACACAGAAGGTGCTTAATAAATGCTTCTCTCTCTCTCTGTCTCTCTCTCTCTGTCTCTCTCTCTCTCAGTCTCTCTGTCTCTCTCTCCCTCACTGTCTCTCTCTCTCTCTCTCTTTCTCTGTATCTCTGTCTCTCTCGCTCTCCCTTTTCTTCCAGACATTTGAGGCATTTGGTAGATCTATTAAGGATTTAGGGTAAGACATGGACAAGAATCAGGTAAGATGAAAAGGTCCTACAATAGGTACCAGTAGAGGGAGCACCCATACCAATAAAATCATAGAGTCTAAGAAATAACCAAATATTTATATCCTTCCATTCTTCAAAAATGGGGTTCCATATCGAACACAGTGACCTAGTCAGAGCAATATCCTAAGCTCCATCTACCTGTAAGTTAGGCTCAAAAGCTATTAAAACCGTTTTCAAAGCATGATTGCCTCATGCAATTAAAGGATTAGGTTACTGACATCACTTCCTGGTTCTTTGACTATGAAAACAACTGTGAGGGGCTCTAGGAGCTCTCTCTGATGTTTGGCAAACAATGATGGGCAACTCAGGTAAGGTTCAGCTTACCTGATGGGCAACTCACTGAAGGCTTCTTCTAATGTCATAGCGAAGTAAATATCCTTTCCTTAACTTTTGAATGACCTACAAATTCTCATTTTGTTCCATTATCAAACATTAACTATCAGGAGATTGTCCTGAATCAGGCCCAGCCCAAAACAGCAAGCTACTGGAATTAACTCAGATAGCAGAATGAAAATTTATCCATTCCATGGGTACATGTACATGCAAAGACCATTGGAGTAATGAATAGAAGAACTGAATTTAAACACTTAATTTTTTGGTGCCTCTATTTCCTAATC